TATCAAATCATGTTTCGAGACATTGTTTGCGTTTAAAATATATAATCATGTATTCATAAAACTAACAATATATGCAAGAATACAGATAAATGTTATGATCTATGCTTTACCTTCTTTACACACTAATGACTATTTGCATTGTATTAGAAAGGGTTCTGTCGTAAGAATATGATTGTTGTTGAATAATATTGTTTAACCTCTTGTCAAGAAACAGCATTTTGAGAACAACTGTGATTACAGTAGTTGGGCGGTCTACATAAATAATTAATAAACTTATTTGTTCTTACCGAGCTGTTTATATAAAGCATATAATGCCAGAAAAGTGGGGAAATTGTTTTTTATGAAACGTATATATTGAATCATCAAGGTATTTTGGTAAAATTAATATACACTATATGTGAATAACATATGAATAGTGTATGAATAACGTTAAGCTATTTTTCATAAGAGGAGCTTTAAGAGGAGCCGATGGCATTTGATGATATAAAGTATACACCGGCAGTCATTCTTATTATTAATTTGTAGGATAATTACTAAATATAAACTTATTATAATGACGGCTCATGAAATCCTTCAATTAGTATGCGGTCATTTTGACATAGTGACTATTAATAAATTTTGTAAACTACTAATTTAAGAATGATATAAATTCTGTGTATACAAATCTGTAGTTAACGTTTTACATTAAATTTTATAACACGTTGTCTGTTATTACATCGATGTCAATATCTCATTCCGTCAATAAGTCATTCCCTCGTTATTATTGGTTGATATTGTGGGTGTGTACGAATGCTTTTGTATGGGTTCAGTCAATGAGGGGGCAGAAAGGGGGAGCAGGGAATGACTTATTGACGGAATGAGATATTGACATCGATGTTATAACAACATTAATTGTATGATCAATAAGCATCAAGTATGCTATCTGAACGAGTACTTAATATTTTGTTTTTAATTAAAGGTTTTAAAATTATTACTATAAGATTTTTTGTTCGATCAAGAGTTGCTTACTGAGAGGTTTTGCAGTATGAGAGAAATGTTTGCAATGACTAATAAAAATTAGAATTTGTTCTCAAAGAGAGTTCAATACATGCATTACATTGTAATACATTTTTGCATTTCAAGCTGTGTTTTGTCTTACAAACTAACTAACGGTTAAATGCATTTTATTGTATCAATTTTACCGTACATTCGCCGCGTCCTCCACCGGGACATTACGGGAAGGGAATGACTATAAGGGAGGGAAGGATTCCTTGTATAGAACTCAATAAGAATAGATTATAGGAAAGTGACAATTTTCAAAAGTTTTAGTCTTCTATAGTTTATTTACGAAAAGTTTAGTTACTGTTATCTTACATGTCAAGTGACAAATTGTATGTTAGAATGTTCTAACGTAATAACCGTTTAACTCAAAATTTAAGTACATTTTGAACAATCGTTAAAGTTAGGGAAAGGTTGCTAAAAAGTTGCATTTTCTCAAATTTAATATAACATTGCATAACATAATATCGGAATAAATTAAATTTAATATAATGTAATAATTTCACTCAATTCCAATTACAATAATGATTATCGCAATTATTTTATAAGTTTAACATTATTTGAATAGATGATTTTGGTCAATTTTTGTTAACAATGTCTTTTTGGTAGTACAGTATATGACTCATCGATTCTTTTCCCAAACTATTGTCACAATTATCAAAATTGAACATTTTTCATGACTAACAATAATAAACAATTTATATTCAATTAGTTCCACAATCAGTTATATTCAAACGATTACCTGTAGTACCGGTACTTTAGTTTGCATTCAATTCAATGCTGGTGTAGAATTTCTAAGTCCACAGATGGCAAGTGTTATAACTTATAAGAATTAGAGACAATACACTTCTATGACATTTCTTTAATTTTAAAATTCAAATAATTTTAATTATTTACAACTAATTCTATAATAATAATAACAATTTACGACACATTAAAAAGATTAAAGCAAATCTTCCAAATAGGGGGCGTTTTGCAATTTGCCCACACTAGCCATCGCGCCCTTAGATTTGACGATCTTATTGGCCAAACCAGTGATGTCCTGAACGGTGATCGAGTCGACCGCCTTCTCGTAGTCATTAAGTGAGACCACTTGTCCCGCATTCAGTGACTGAGTGGCCAACTCCTCAACCAAAACGTTCTGGTCTTCGGCCGCCAATAGAGTGGTCGCCTTTAAGCTGTGCCTAAAAATCGTGGTTTTTGTTAATTTACAAATATATTCGCGTTAATCGTTATCTCAAATACTTTGCATTTTTAAGCTCCTCTTCGGAAATACTTTTAGCCGAAGCTCTGAGTTGAGTGACGGCTGCCTTCACTGCTTACTCTCATCCAATCTCTCGATAGTATACACCAACATATGTACACTATTTGGCTATTATTTCTGTCCTCTTATCAATTCATAACAACCAATCATCTCATATAAAATTATTAAATTATTAAAAATAATTCATTATTTAAGTGCAAGACTTGTAAGTCGTCAGACAATTAGCAACTTATAAATATATTTTTGCTATATTTTGCATTTGTACTTAAGGTTTGATAACTTTAAGTTTACAGTGCTTTTTCTAATCTGTTTTTCTAGTATTTTATGAATTATAATTACCAACAATTGTCAGTGAAATCAACGTTTTGATTAAATAGTGGCTAAAAAGACAATCAATGGCACCGAATACCGACAAAACTGAACACCCGAACCGACCCTTCAAACAGAGAAAACCTTTGAGTATGTCTTCATTTATTAAAATTTATAACAAATTTGAGCATTAATTGAAATATTTTTTGCCCCGGTACTATTTATTACTATTTCCATGATTTAACCATGTTATTTTCCATTATTTATATTGAAATATTTAAGTTTAACAGATAAATTAACAATAATTCCTATGTTTATTATAATACTGTTAATATTTAATTGTATTTTTATACTATATTTAAGTCTAATGTATTAATATATAAATTAGAAAATAATAAATGTTGCATTTTGTGGATGTTATCTACATTTAAAATTAACTTGTTCAACTTTTTAAATATATTATTTTATAACTACTAATATAAATTAATTGAAAAGTTTAATAAATTTAGCATTTTTAATTGTTTTTTTTAAATAATCTATTTTTAAATAAAATGATTAAAATATTTCACACAATTTTACAGCGACGAGAAGGGAAGAGGTTTCTGGAATAAGAGCTAAATTTCCCACTAAAATACCGGTGAGTCTCTTAAATTTAAGTTATAAACTAAAAATCAACTTTTATATTATAATTATTTAATAACATTATTATTTTATTTAATATTGTTATAAATGTATATATATTAAGACCTTTTGTCCATAAGAGATAATTTATTGATATGAAGTATTATGACATTTACTAAAATTGTTTATGAGATTGTTATATCTTATTGTTAATTTGTATTTTGTACAAAAACATGTCTAGTCTTTAATTGTAATTTGATATTAAACATTATATAAGCCATATATTAATTAATTATCAATGAAAATACGTCTAATAATAGTCACCAATGAATTCATTAGATTTTGAAGAAAACACAAACAGTTAGTGAGAAATTGTAAATGAAAATCAGCAAAAAACAACGATTAAGTTATTAAAGTAAATAAAAATTTGGATAAATAAAAATTGACGATAAAATATATATAAAAATTTATTCTTTTTTGTAAATTGTTTTTAATTTTCAACACTATTTAGACATTAATGGACTTTAATTTAATGTAATTGTTAGGTAATCGTCGAGAAGTACAGCAAAGAGAAAAGTCTTCCGGTTTTGGACAAAACAAAGTTTTTGGTTCCGCAGGAATTACCGATGGCTACCTTTGTAACCATAATCAGGTACACAATCATCTCATTTGTCAATTAATATAATTATATTAAAACACGTGTAGTTATTAATAAAACCGATTGTCATTACATGAATGTCTAGATGCTATTTATAGGTCAATGTTCTTAACCCTTAACCATTAAACCCTTTATCTCGAGTCGACATCAGATTATATGCACTTTTTATTGTAATTTTGACGATAAATAAGTTGGAAAGTAATCGGAAAACTGCATTCAATGATAACAAGTAGTACAGTATATGTCAGTAGAAGATAATGGAAATAAATCATTAAATGCTTGTTTTTTACAAAGAGATAACTTGTTTAATGTTAAACAAATGTGTTGCCAACTGCTCACTAAATGTATTCCTTTCATTGTCCTTGTCTTAGAAATCGGATGCAATTGTCATCGACTCAAGCGTTTTATTTGATTATAAGCAACAAAAGTATGGTTAATATGACTAAAACGATGGCTGAGGTGTACAAAGAGAACAGAGATGAGGACGGATTCCTATACGTGACGTACGCTTCGCAGGAAATGTTTGGCTCTTCACATGTCAGCTCATTGTCGTAGTTCCGCAATGATTACCAATTGATTATTATAGTTCATCTATAATGTAATCTTGTATTTATAATTGTATATAAACTCAACTCTTTATACTTATGTTTCCGAAAAACATTAATCAAAATATTTAATTCAATAATTCATTTTATTTTAGTATTTTTTAAAGCATTAACACTACGAATGTATTTAAATAAAAAGATTGTATGAAACTCAACAAAAGTGATGTAAAAGTTGATCAGTTATTTTGTGTGGGAGTCGTTGCGCTTATGATCGGATTGATTGGCAGATCTGTTTGAGTGATCCGTTTGGAGCCCTCCACTAACATGTCGTGAATAGTCTTAGCGAAGTTCACCTGACCTTTGATTGTCATTAAATACTGGTTGTATGACAACGAGTCGGTCGGCATATTAGGGTTGGTCTCAATGCTGTCCGACTTATTGATAGTAAAGGGTAGGTAGAGGTGACTATCCCTCGCCTGAATCGCGCACTCGAGGATTGTTTTCTGCAAATCAAGACATGAATGAGTCATTGGACACGACTAGTGATGTCTATTAGAGGACTAATCACTCACTAAATGGAGTTCTATTTGATTACAAATGGAGAAGAAGTCTTCCAACGCTTTATCAAAACGTATTTCCGATTCTTCGCTCGTTTTCCTATAAGTGATGACAATATTAATGACAATAAATGGTTGACAAAGAAGTGGTAATGAAGTGGTAATGACTTACAATCCGCTGTCAATCAACGAATTGTGTTGTATGTTATGTGCGGACACTTTCATCACGTTCTTAGAAGAGATCAATTCAAAGACAATCAATACATGTGTTGTTAAATAAGATAATCAAACAAATGATGGTTTACTGCAAGCGATTCCTTCAGAGTATAGACGAGTTGACGGACTCTTTGGATCAAATCGTACTTCTGTTCGGTCTGTTGTACAATCAATACATGTGTTGTTAAATAAGATAATCAAACAAATGATGGTTTACTGCAAGCGATTCCTTCAGAGTATAGACGAGTTGACGGACTCTTTGGATCAAATCGTACTTCTGTTCGGTCTGTTGTGAAGGCTGTGATCCCTGACCGCTGGGCCCGACACCCGACTGACCCATACCTGACATCCCAGACATCCCTCACAACTGTCTTCGCGACTCACTTCTCAAGTACTGCAATAATAATTGAAAATTTCAATGCATTACAAGTTAGAGCACATTATTAAAGGCTTAACTCATATTATTATTTGCATTATTATAAAATGCTGTACTGTTTGTTAGATAAGCCCTTTTCAACTCAACCACATTTAACACATGACATACAGTATAACTACTAAATAAATAAATCTATGATTTTAATTATTAATAAATTAATTTTTAATATTTATTAATTGTATTTAAATTATTATAAATTATTAAACTTCAGATTAATAACGATTTTTAAAAATTATATGAAACTGTGTGTGAAATGAATGAATAGTGAAAATGTTGTTAAGTTTGAGGTTTGACTGTAAGTGAAGGCAAAGAGAGAGTCTGTAATCGCAACACATTTACTGCCATTTTATCATTGAATTGATTTGAAGTGACTTTCAGTGCTTTTTGTCACTAAACTGAAGACAAATATGATTTCAATGAAGATATCTCGGCGTCCGTTGAATGCATTGGTCGTGAAGAGACTCCTCAGCGGCCAGACGTCACCCAAACGGTCAGAAACGGAAGCGTTGAGAGCACCCACTCTGAAGACAACATCACTTCCCAGCGGTTTGATCGTCACTTCGCTCGACAATCGCAGTCCCATCACAAGAATCGGGGTTATTGTGAGAGCCGGTGCCCGCTATGAGCCACAGGACCAGTTGGGACTCAGCCATACGCTCAGATCGATGGCCGGCTTCTCCACCAAAGACTCGACGGTCTTCGGCATCACTCGAAACATTGAATACGTCGGCGGAAGTCTCACAGCTCTCACCACAAGAGATGATGTAATCTATGTGTTGGAAAACGACGGCAATTATACGGATCGCAATCTGAAGTATTTGTCGGACACTGTTCTGCAGCCGGCGTTCAAACACTGGCAGATCAAAGACAATCTGTACCGACAAAAGGCCGACTTGTCTTACTATAGAGATAGTCCGCAATTAGTACTGATAGAGGCCTTACATTCGGCCGCATTTCGTGGCGGACTTCGCAACTCTATCTATTCGCCGGACTTTATGATCGGAAAGCACTCAACGGATCAATTGGCTGATTATGTCGACCGACACTTTGTGTCCAATCGTACGGCTATTGTGGGCGTAGGTATTGAACACAACCAACTCTTAGAACGTGTGGACAAATGGTTCTCAACGATGTCTCGCGGAGATCGGGGTAATAGCGGACAATCAAAGTTTGTCGGCGGAGAGGCCAGAGTTGACACCAATTCTGATACCACTTATGTTGCGGTCGCTGCCGAAGGAGTCGGGTATTAACAGTGAATACAAATGACAAATCTATTTAACTAATGATTTGAATTAATTTAGATCTAAGAACCAGAAGGATGTGCTCTCCCTGTCGTTACTGCAGACCATTCTGGGAACGGGTCCTCGCGTTGAGTTTAGTGATGGAAGTCATACCAAATTGGGTGAAGCGGTCGCCAAAACAACTTCAGAACCATTCGCTGTCTCCGCTTTTAATATCAATTATACCGATACCGGACTCTTTGGCATTACTGTCGCCGCTTCGGCACAGGATATTCACAAAGCAGTGAAGGCAGCCGTCACTCAACTCAGAGCTTCGGCTAAAAGTATTTCCGAAGAGGAGCTTAAAAATGCAAAGTATTTGAGATAACGATTAACGCGAATATATTTGTAAATTAACAAAAACCACTATTTTTAGGCACAGCTTAAAGGCGACCACTCTATTGGCGGCCGAAGACCAGAATGTTTTGGTTGAGGAGTTGGCCACTCAGTCACTGAATGCGGGACAAGTGGTCTCACTTACTGACTACGAGAAGGCGGTCGACTCGATCACCGTTCAGGACATCACTGGTTTGGCCAATAAGATCGTCAAATCTAAGGGCGCGATGGCTTGTGTGGGCAAATTGCAAAACGCCCCCTATTTGGAAGATTTGCTTTAATCTTTTTAATTTGCCGTAAATTGTTATTATTATTATAGAATTAGTTGTAAATAATTAAAATTATTTGAATTTTAAAATTAAAGAAATGTCATAGAAGTGTATTGTCTCTAATTCTTATAACACTTGCCATCTGTGGACTTAGAAATTCGACACCAGCTTTGAATTGAATGCAAATTAAAGAACCGGTAATCGTTTGAATATAACTGATTGTGAGACTAATTGAATATAAATCGTTTATTATTGTTAGTCATAAAAAATGTTCAATTTTGATAATTGTGACAATAGTTTGGGAAAAGAATCGATGAGTCATATACTGTACTATCAAAAAGACATTGTTAACAAAAATTGACCAAAATCATCTATTCAAATAATGTTAAACTTATAAAATAATTGCGATAATCAATTGTAACTAGAAATGAGTGAAATTACTATACTAAATTTAAGTAAATGCAACTTTTTAGCAATCTTTCCCTATCTTTAACGATATTGTTCAAAATTTACTTATATTTTGAGTTAAACGGTATGTTATTACGTTAGAATATTCTAACATACAATGTACCATGTACAATGTACCATTTGACATGTAAGATAAGTTATCTTAAGATAACAGATCTTTAGATAACAGTAACTAAACTTTTCGTGAATAAACTATAGAAGACTACAACTTTGGACAATTATCAGTTCCTATCATCTATTCTTATTGAGTTCTATGCAAGGAATCCTTCCCTCCCTTATAGTCAGTCCCTTCCTGTCATTTCCCGGTGGAGGACGCGGCGAATGTACGGCAAAATTGATACAATAAAATGCATTTAACCGTTAGTTAGTTTGTAGGATAAAACACAGCTTGAAATGCAAAAATATATTACAATGTAATGCATGTATTGAACTCTCTTTGAGAACAAATTCTAATTTTTAGCAGTCATTGCAAACATTTCTCTCATACTGCAGAACCTCTCAGTAAGCAACTCCTGATCGAAAACAAATCTTATCGTTAAGTAACAATTTTAAAACCTATAATTTAAAACATAAAATATTAAGTATAGATCGTTCAGATAGCATACTTAGTGCTTATTGATCATACAATTAATGTTGTTATAATAACAGGCAACGTTTTGTAAAATTTAATGTAAAAACGTTAACTACAGATTTGTATAGACAGAATTCATATCATTCTTAAATTAATAGTGACTATGTCAAAATGACCGGATACTAATTGAAGGATTTCATGAGCCGTCATTATAATAAGTTTATATTTATTAATTATCTTACAAATTAATAATAAGAATGACTGCCGGTGTAAATTTATATACTTTATATAAACAGCTCGGTAAGAACAAATAAGGTTATTAATTATTTATGTAAAACTTTAGTACCCAACTACACTGTACTGTAATCACAGTTGTTCTCAAAATGCTGTTTCTTGACAAGAGGTTAAACAATATTTGTCATAACAATCATATTCTTACATACGTTACGACAGAACCCTTTCTAATACAATGCAAAGAGTTATTAGTGTGTAAAGAAGGTAAAGCATAGATCATAACATTTATCTGTATTCTTGCATATATTGTTAGTTTTATGAATACATGATTATATATTTTAAACGCAAACAATGTCTCGAAACATGATTTGATAGTAAAATGAATGAATTCTTACAATTGTCTCCTATTTATAATGAATTTGATAAGGAATAGAGTGGAAAAGGGAGTGTTGGGTGGATATGATGACAATGACCATGATCAAATGTACTGACCCATACAATTGATTACATGAAAAAGTGCACTAAAGTCGAGCAAACCTGCTGTACAGTAGTCTAGGTGTATATGCTTGGCGTGACCTTCGCCTCACCGGTTAATGACCCCTCACTTTGCAATACCTGTAAATAGGAAGTAAAAGTCTTCTTCATAACCAGTCATACGCCGAGACAACCAGTGCTCACACTTTTCCTCTTTTTCTCTTTCACTAGCTTTTTGTCGTCAAACAAACTTTCTTACACTTCAGTACAGTATAGAACTTGTTGTTAGTGTTTAATACCGAGATAAATGTGCGTCAAGTAACTAAATCTTACAAAAGTACCAATATTATTGATCGTGTTTCTGGCTTCAGCCAAATAAAATTGTTGAAACAATGATTTTATTAAAGTATTCGACATCTTTCAGTATTCTTGTGATTATTTTATCGGTTTTAGCCGTTTATTCGAAAGATAGCGATCTTAGCACTAAAAATACTTCTCAATTATTGCAAAAAACTTATTCAAATACAACGAAAAATGCATCAAATTTTAAAGCAATGGATAACAAGAGTAAGAATAAAAGCAGTGATGGTCTGCGAAATGCAGATCCTTTGCAAAGGGCGGGTGGTTTTGGTGGTGGGTTTGGCACTGGTTTTGGTGATGGCTCTGATTTGGATCCTTTTAGTAACTTTTGGCATTCACTATATGTGGACAGAACGGGCTTTAACTCATCATTTGCTTTAAATGTACCGCTCTTTACGATAACAGTTCCCGGTTATGGACGAGGGCTCAAATACGACACCCCGTTGTCTGCCATTAACGTCGGTATGTCTTCATTCCTATAGCACTACTAACTTTCAACTATTATTAACTTTCATTAAATTGTTTACTTTTCTCGACTCTCCATTTGTTTTAACAAAATCTTGAAATAATTTTCATATAATAACTAACTATTTGGGAACAAATTGCATGAATTGTCTTGTAAGGTAATCTGGCAGTGCTTGGGATTATTGTATTTGGAAGTATAGCCTTATGGATGCCAATTGTCTTTCCCGAAGTGACATCCAAAAGAAGTTTTGAGGACACGTCTAGTATTCCGCATATTATAGCCAAACGTATAATAAATATCTCGGAGTCAGTGATGGGCCGATCGATGAGCACAGAAGAAAAGCAAGGATTGGCTAACTTTATGACCAGTCGTTTAGTCGGCGTTTCCGAGTCTATAATGGGTTGGGTTGAGAAGTCAGTCGACGATTTGCCTAACTTTCCGCGACTCGACGCTCAGGAATGTATGAAGAGATGCATTTGTGAGGCACACAATCAGCCCAAGAAATACGGACTCACAGGACTTGTATTGCAATTATTTTTCCCGTAAGTTTTGACGTCATTTCAACAAATTGACAATTTTTCTAACAATTAAATTGAATCTTACGTTTAGTCCTTATACCGAAGCGGAAGAGCCGTTGAAAGTGGTTTCCAAATATCAATTAGCGGCTCGATATGGACGACAAGAGAGCGCCAACTGTGCGGCACAATATGACGGATGTTTAGTCAACTTTTTGGATATAATTCAAGGAGTTATTAATTTAGTGTTTTGATGGACTCGTCATCGCATTCAACATCTTATTGATTGTACATCTCTTTTGAAGTGTGAATACAATGTATAAAAACTGGGAGTCAGTGATACATATCGTCGCAAAATTCATTTCGAAATGAGATGTCAACCAATTAATAGAAAAGACTAGTTTTTGGGCTGAATATTGTATTTTAGAGCTTATGGTATAAATTGTATACGATTTGCCTAACTTTCCGCGACTCGACGCTCAGGAATGTATGAAGAGATGCATTTGTGAGGCACACAATCAGCCCAAGAAATACGGACTCACAGGACTTGTATTGCAATTATTTTTCCCGTAAGTCTTGACGTCATTTCAACAAATTGATGATTTTTCTAACAATTAAATTGAATCTTACGTTTAGTCCTTATACCGAAGCGGAAGAGCCGTTGAAAGTTGTTTCCAAATATCAATTAGCGGCTCGATATGGACGACAAGAGAGTGCCAACTGTGCGGCACAATATGACGGATGTTTAGTCAACTTTTTGGATATAATTCAAGGAGCTATTAATTTAGTGTTTTGATGGACTCGTCATCGCATTCAACATCTTATTGATTGTACATCTCTTTTGAAGTGTGAATACAATGATTTTTGACCCTCAGTCACTATGTATAGCAGCGTTTTAAGTAAAGCTTTACTCTACAGTTGGTTAATTATCTTTTCTGATCAAAAACCCGACTTATAACATAAAATCTCGAATACCATATTTAACATAAAATATTGTATTCATTGAATTAGTTGTAAATAATATTAATCAACAAATATTTACAAGATTTGGTTTATAATCAAAATTTTAAGAATAAAATGCTAAATATTTTTATTGATTAACCAGTGGTTGACTTAAAGGCAATCAAATCCCAATAGGCTTTTACTCGTGCCAACCATTGGCCCCAATATTTCACACACTGTTCACTGTTTAAGTGATGGATCTGACACTTGGATCCGTCCTCATAAGCGTAGACGAGAACCACTTCTTTGATGGACTGGCAGTTGTCGGGGGCGTAGTTAAGGGCACCCATATATGCGACCGCTTGTAAGGGATTGTCATAAATGTCTTTCAAAGTGGGCTTTTGTTTTTCGGATGTCTTCCACTCAAAGATGACAAGTTTTCCCGAATAAAAGGCCACACAATCGACAATACCTTTATAGTAGAGGAATGGATGAGAGACTGCAGTCTCGCATAACTGGACGTCACGAATGTCTGGCAAGACGTGAGACAAACTCGTCCACAACTTCTCAATGCTTTCATTCAACGTAAGGCTCGACTCATCTCTAGTTTGCAGAAAGTTTTTGATATTCAGATGAAGTAGTTTTCCTCGACTTAGAATATTCTTCTGGTAATCTCTGAACCCCTGTTCACCGATTTGACTGATTTTCAATTTCTTCCACTTATCCAAAGCGACCAAAGACTGGACAGACATTGTTGTGCTGAGGATTGCGGTAACGCTTGGATAATAGACCAATTGATTCAATTGGTTCTCTTCACACCTTTTCATCGATTCAAACAAATGCTTGAAATCGGTTTCCAATTGCTTTGAATCCATGTCTTTGTCTCTGAAGAGAGGGAACGAATCGATGCGACAATTGCTTAATATTTGAGCCAATTTGAGCTGAGATTCACTCTTCAGCGCTGACTTGGTTTTGGTTGTCGTTTCTGTGGTCGAGACACTCCTCGCACTCAAAGCAACGACTGATGGCTTCGTTTGAGTCACATTTCGGATCAATTGGTTGACGAAAATTGAATTAAAACGAAATATATTTGTTTTAGCGCTTAATTGATTCAATTGTTGCCATTTGTGTCCATAAATTGGATTAGTGACCAAAACACACGACCTCTTCAGTGACCACATGTTGGAAGCGATGATCAGATTTCAGTGGACTTTTAGTTAGCGATCAAAACATTCAAAACAAACACAAAGTGTTGAAAAGGGCTTTAAAAGTGGTCTAAAAGTGATGTCACGTGACTTTTGGTTGCCTTTTGAGCCAATCATTGCTTTGAATGCAATAAACAGTCGATTATTTGACGACAACTTTCAGAAACCAAAACAATGTCTTATTTGAAGACTAAATAGTCGGTAAGCAAGTTATCTAACGAAGGGTTCTGTATGGAGACGCCGGCGTCACCACAGGCACGCAACTCACTCCGGAGCAAACAGGTGTCTCTCCGACTAGGGCTGAGCTTCTGGGGCAAAAAGTTCAACGCCGAAAACAAAAAGGTGTGCTTTTGTGACCACTTTATGACCACTTTTGATGGTTTATGTGATAATTGTATTGTCTGTATAGCGAGCGGAAGCGCTGGTCTCTATATATCCGGATGGCTTCAAAGCCGCTGCTGTTATCCCGCTCTTGGATTTGGCTCAACGACAATACGGTTGGCTCCCATTGAAGGCAATGAATTATGTGGCGGAATATCTCGAGATGCCAGCCATGAGGGTCTACGAAGTGGCCACCTTTTACACCATGTTTAACAGACAACCTATCGGTATGTCTACAAAGTATGCATTGTTTGGCCCATTATATGAACATATGGTGTCTATCCTATAGGCAAATATCACGTTCAGGTCTGCACTACCACTCCGTGTATGCTTAGAGGCGCTCAAGAAGTCTATGAATACACTAAAGATTTGCTGAAAGACGATAAAGACTTCACAGTCGTTGAGGTCGAGTGTTTGGGCGCCTGTGTTAACGCACCTATGATTCAGATCAACGATGACTACTACGAAGACCTAACCAATGAAAATGTCAAACAAATTATAGCTGATCTGAAAGCCGGCAAAAAGCCAAAGGCCGGGCCCTCAGCCCAAAGCGGACGACTCGCCTGTGAGCCCACAGGAGGTCTCACATCACTTACATCACCCCCTCCTGGACCTGGATTTGGTTGTCGTTCAGATCTTTAGTTTAAATTAGGTTTTTGTAGATTTAAGACAAGACTTGTTATTGTAGTGTTATTTTATTGAAATAAAATACCAATAAATACATTATTATTAATTGGCTATAAAATTATAAATTGAAGTAATCGACCATAAATTCAGTTCAATTGATGTTTAATATCACTTATGAAAGAGTATCACGTGTTGGCCGCAAAATATTGGTTTGCGAAACGAACCGATTCTAACCGAACGTTATATAAGGGATGA